GTAGTTGTTATTTCCTGTAATGTCTTTTATCTGGTTTTGGTATTAGTGTAATGTTGGTCTCACAGAATGAATTAGAAAGAATCTCTTCTGATTCTATTTTCTAGAACAGAGAGCACAAAATTTGCATCATTTCCTCCTTGAATATTTGGTAGAATTCACTGGGGACAGCTTTGTTTTGGAAGGTTTTGGTTTTTTTTTTAAGTCAGTGTCACTTTGCCACTCAGGCTGGAGTGCATTCGCACAATCAAAGCTACTGCAGTCTTTACCTTCTGGGCTCTGGCGATCCTTCTGCCTTAGCCATCCAGGCACATGCCACCACACCCGCCTAATGTTTTGATGTATTGTAGAGGTGTGGTCTTGCCAAGTTGCCCAGGCTAGTCTGAAATCCTTGGTCTCAGGCAATCCTCTCACCTCCCAAACTGCTGGGATTACAGGCATAAACCATCGCATCTGGTCAGAAGTTCATTATCAATTAAATTTTATTATAGTATAAGTTATTCCTCCTTGTGTGAGTTTTGGCAGACTGTCTTTCACAGAATTGGAGCATTTAATCTAAGTTACATTTGTTGACACAGAGTAGTTTGTAACATCACAATATCAGTGATGATGGCCCCTCTTTTCAATCTTGATATTTGTAATTTTTGTCTTCCCTTTTTCTGAGTAGTGTGATAAAAGTTTTAAAATTGTATTTATTTTTTTCATTGAATTTCATTTCACTTTTATTATCTTTGTTTTTGTTTCCATTTCATTGATTTCTACCAATTATTTCATTTCTTCTGCATACTTTGGATTTCCTCTTCTTTTTCTAATTTCCTAAAGTAGCTGTTTATTGATTTTAGATCTTTCACTGTTTCTCAATATATGCATTTAATTGCTATAAATTTCCCACTAAGCATTGATTTTGCTACAGTTCACAAATTTTGGTAAGTCATGTTACTCAGAAGTGTTAAATTTAAATAATTGAGGACTATCTAAATATCTTCATTACTGATTTCTAGTTTAATCCCACTGTAATGAGACATTTTTCTTTCTTTTATTTTTATTAGTTGGAGTCTCACTCTTGTTGTCCAGGCTGGAGTGCAGTGGCAAGCTAATGACCACCACAGCCTCAACCTGCTGGGCTCAGGTGATCCTTCCGCCTCAGCCTTCCAAGTAACTAGAACTACTGATGAACACCACCACTCCCGGCTAGTTTTTTGTGATATATTGTAGAGACGAGGTCTCACCAAGTTGCCCAGGCTGGTCTCAAACCTCTGGGCTCAGGCAATCCTCTTGCCTCAGCTTCCCAAATTGCTGGGATTACAGGCTGAGCTACCACGCCCAGCCCTGAGACCTAATTTTTGTCTATTTTAAAAAAACTCCTAATAACTTTTATTGCTGTTTAATGCCCCTCATAATCCCTGATCATTTTCCTCGCCCTAAAGTTGGATTTTTATGAAATAAATGTAGCTACTCCAGCTTTCTTAGTCTGATTGGGTTGCCATAACAAAATATCACACACTGGGTGGTTTAAACAACCGAAACTTATTATCTCAAATTTCTGAAGACTGGAAGTCTGGAATTGGGAGCAAGCATAGTCGGTTTCTGGTGAGGGGTCCCTTCTCACTTGCAGACAGCCACCTTCTCACTAGGCCATCACATGGTGAACAGAGCAAGCTTCTTGTAAGGACACTAATGAGGGCCCCACTGTTATGACCTCATCTAATCCTAATTACCTTCCAAAGTTCATATCTCCAAATACTATCACTCTTGGAGTTAGGGCTTTAACATAAAAACTTGGAGGAAGATACAAACAATCAGTCTATAACATATTACATATCTTTCTCCATCAATTTACCTTTAATCTGTCTGTATTATCAAAGTAGATTTCTTACAGAAAACATATAGTTGAATCTTGCTCTTTAATCCACTCTGATAGTCTCTGTGTATTTATGTGTTTAGACCACACACTTTTAAAGTGATTTAGATAAGCCGGCTCGGTGGCTCAGCCTGTAATCCTGCACCTTTGGGAGGCTGAGGTGAGTGGATTGCCTGAGCCTGCAGGTTCGAGACCCGCCTAAGCAACTTGGCGAGACCTCATCTCTACAATAAATCAAAAAAAATTAGCTGGGCGTGGTAGTGCACACCTGTAGTTCCAGCTACTTGGAAGGCTGAGGCAGAAGGATCACTGGAGCCCAGCAAGTCGAGGCTGCGGTGGCCGGGAGCAGCCACTGCACTCCAGTCTGGGCGATAGAGTGAGACTCCAACTCAAAAAAAAAAAAAAAAGTGATTTAGATAGAGGGATTAATATCTACTGCATTTGTTAATGATTTCTATTCATTGCCCTTCTTTTCTCTCTCACTTTTTCTGCCTTCTCAAGTTTTAATCAAGCATCTTATATGATTCCACTTTCTCTCTTCTCTTATGAGGATTAAATAAATATGCAACAATCTACCATTATGTGAGCTGGCTTTCTGATTATGAAACAAAATTCATTAAGATGAGTGTTGTCACATTCTGGACATAGTCAAATGGTAGAAGAGAATAATCATCATGTAACATGAAAAATAATAACATGCCAAAAATAGTGGTTACCTCATGGTAGAGGAGCCAATATGGAAAATGTCAAAGGAAACCAGTTTTATCTGTAATGCTTGCATTTACTTTTTGCATAATTGAAAATCAATTAAAAATTGTATATCTCTACATGCTAAAAATATGTGAAATTCAATCAATACAAGGTAGAAGGACAAACAACAAAATAGGAAAAAGCAAAGTATAAAAATATAATAAGTTGATAGCAAGTAATTTTTCACTCACTGATTTTTGAATCAAGATGTCAAAGAATGTAACAATAATCATTAAATAAATGATCTGCTGCATTTAGCAACTGCTAGCATATTGATACACCTATACAAACTTTTAGAAAAAATAGTCAACATGTGGATATTGCAAGCATGAAAAGATTACGTATTTTTAATGTTTTCATTAGCAAACACCAAAAGTGTCATTTCATTTATCATGCCTAATGCAGTAATCCTTTACTAGTAATTATCATAAAATAAGTTGGGGCAACAAGTTGAATTCACTTGAAATAAAACTCAGGATAAGATTCAACAGGAGTTTTTCACACAGAACTGTAGTGCAGTGGCACAATCACAGCTCACTGCAGCTCAAACTCCTGGGCTAAACTGATCTGTCTGCTCAGCCTCCCAAGTAGCTACAACTACATGTACCCACCACTATACCCAGCTAATTTAAGAAATTTTTCTGGAGGGATTGCCTAGGTTGACCGCAAACTCCTGGCTCAAGTAATCCTCCCCCTTGGTCTCCCAAAGTTCTGGGATTACAGGCATGAGCCACTGTGCCCAGTCAACAGGGTCTATTCTACTGGGTTCAATTTCCAACCAAATAGACAGTTATTCTCTCCCAAATCAATCTATGTCTACATATTGACCAATGTTAAAGATATTTTGTGGTAGACTAAAACAAATTTTTATTTTTAAGTTAGGCTAACATAACAATTTGGTGTGTGGAGAAGCTAGAATGTGGTTATTATTTTCAGATATTTTACATTATCATATTTAATAGCCAATGAAATAAAAAAGTTTTAAGCCTTCATAGAATTCAGTGATCTTCTTAAATCACTAAAAAGTGATGGCCCACATCTATAATTCTACATTTTTTGGAGGCCAAGGTGAGAGAATCGCTTGAGCCCAGGGAGCTTGAGATTAGCTTGGACAACATAACGAGACCTTGTCTCTACAATAAAATAAAATAATAAAATAAGTGAAAATACATATAGATTCTGAGCACTTGAAACATATTTTCCAACATGCTCAAAGCCACAAAATACTTTAAGGGCTTTACACTTAGATGGGATAAAAATTAAGACATTCTACTATAATTTACTGTATCACTGAGCTCAAAAGTGAGTACCACAGAGCTGTGCGCCTCCAATCCCAGATACTTAGGATGCTGAAGCAGGATTGCTTAAGCCCAAGAGTAAAAGACCAGCCTGGACAACATAGTATAATGAGACAATCATCTCCAAAAAAAAAAAAAGGCCAGGCGCGGTGGCTCAACCTGTAATCTGAGCACTTTGGGAGGCCGAGGTGAGAGGATTGCCTCAGCCCAGGGGTTTGAGACCAGCTCAGGCAACTTGGTGAGATCTTGTCTCTACAATAAATCACAAAAACTAACTGGGCGTGGTGGCTTTCCAGCTACTTGGAAGGCTGAGGTGGAGGATCACCTGAGCCCCGCAAGTCGAGGCTGAGGTGGCCATGAATGAGAGTGCTACTGTACTCCAGCCTGGGCGACAAAGGCTTGAGATTCCAACTCAAAAAAATAAAAATAAAAAAAATAGTGGGCAAGTAATCTTGCTATGTAAGAAAACCTGGATTAATGAATTAAAGTAGGATGCAATCATCATCAGTAAAATGTGAAACAAAGACTTACCAGATAATTGACCAAGTTGTTTATTGCTTTTTCGTAACTTTCTATAACTTGCAACAAAGAGGACTTCACAGATAACTGTACCACCTGCTCTGCAGAACTACTGTCAGGCCTCCACTTCCATTTCCTCTCCCTCCATTAACTTAAAGGAAAAAAATGTTGCTCATTCCCTGAATTCCCAACTGGACCTAGGAAGTACTTTATATGTCATCTTCCCCTAAAAGAAGTTACAGTCTCTAAAATATAACAGTATATGTATTTTCTGCATAGAGACATGGTATACTGGGAATATTATTTGTCAACTGTAAAAAAAGACAAAGCAATTAAGGTAAGCAAGAAACCTGGACAGCATACAGTAGAAAGCATTTTCAAGTAAAAAAGTACACACATTTATCTTAGAAAACTAATGATATTAAATGGGGTTAGAATTCTCTTACTTTATCTTGTATGTAATCTTGAATGAGTCTTTTAAAATTAGTCTTATAATATTAATTTATCTGCCTGTGAAAAAGCCTTTTCTATTTATAAACATATGCCACATCACCAATAGCTAGAGATTTTTAGAGAGAATTTTATTTACAGAAAATTCACTGATTGGCAAAAAGTCAAGAGCACAACTTTTAACATAATCAAGAGTAGATTAATATATAATGTCAATGTCACTTGGTATATAATACAGATTATAGCTTTCATGCTAGTTTTATTTATTTTTTTACATTCCAATTTTAAACAAATCCAGAAATAAGACAGTATATGTAAAACAAATTTGCTAAATATTTTGAAATTATGCCACCTTTTATCTCAGATATAACTTCAATTTAAAAGTCATCTACAAATTAAATGACCTTTCCATAATTTCTAAATGTAAAGGAGTTAAACACCAAATGGAAATGAATATACTACTGTTATAAGGCTAAAAAGAAAAATATTATATTAACAATATCCTAAGTTGAAAGAATTTTCCAAAGAATAATACATGAGGTAAAGTACACATTAAATGTTTTATATCTAGAATATTGTTTACTTGTATTTTTGTCCATATACTTTAAAACACCAAAGCACTGACTAAATAAGAAAGGACCATTTTTAAATGAATAACAGATGGCAGTACATGTCATTTAAGGATAAAACGAAGATGGACTATGTGCTTTCATTTGCAAGTAATGTTCTTTATCCAAATAGTCCTGTGTTTCCTTTATCCATGAATGACAAGATTCTCTACTATGTGAAAAAGAGACCATTCTTTTACTGATGAAAAGCTTCTAATCTTATTCGAGTTGGGTCTTCTGGATGTCTCAAGGCAATTCCATTACGCAGCAGCAGCTCAACATAAGGTGGCCAAAAGGAATCACTAATTCTGACATATGGATCATGCGGAACATCAAATAACCTATTTATAAGAATCTAGGAGAAAATATCATTCAAAATATACTTTACTTGGGAAAAAGTCAATACAACTATAATAAAACAATAAAGTTTTTCATCAAAGAATGTTGATCTTTTACTCCTTCAACAACTGTTTATAACATAATTTTTATATACTAACTTAAATAATTGATTTTCTTTTAAAAAGACTACAGATATTAGTGAATGGAAAAACCTTTAAAATGAATATCTGCATATTAAATTTTGAAAACATTTCCTAAAAATGAGTTAGAGAGATTTACAATTCCTCCACTTTTCTTGGAATCAGTAATTTCTTTAAGACAAAAATTAAAATATTTAAAAAATTAATATCCAACAAAATATACACAAAATTGAAAAGAAAATAACAAGTACATTTTAAAATATGGGGGAGAAATCGTCAGTTCTGTGCCCTCACAAAACACCTATTCTTCTGATAAATCTCCAAAGCAGTCAATATCATTGTTATCACTTCCTTCAACTTCATATTGAGAATCTTTGATTTCATCAAGGATGGCGAGGTGTTACAAGCACAAATTTACAAGTTTTGAGTATTTGTATTAAGTTATACAGGCTAGCATTTTCCAGACTGCAATTCCATGAAACTGGTCTCCCTAAAGATGTTCTTAGTTCTTGAAAAACAGAGTTCAGTGGTCAAATAAGCTTGAGAAAGACTGCCAAAGTGAACTGAGAATCGCCTGTCTTTCCCAAATCCACTGGCTTTAGGAAACCTTTTTTAAGAAACAAATACTTACAATTCCTTGAATACTAATGCTCTATGAAACAGTAAAAAATGCCAAATGTAGATCAATTGTTATTTTGCCTCCTCAGATACCTCCCAGTACCTTTGCAACTACGAAACTAGAATTCGGAAGTGTAAAGGGGTTCCTCAGGGGCACACAATTAGTGGCAGATCATGGATTAGACTCTGTCTTTGAATTGACAGGCCAAAGCTTTAATTCAAAGATGCTATTATTTTAAGGAACATGGAAAAGAAAAGTCATAATTTATACAAATATAAAGTGACATAGAAGTAAATAAAATTAATCCATCAAGTTCTAATCTCAATCATATTTTATGATAATATCAATATCTCAATTTTTAAAGTTCTCAACTACCATTAACTATTTCAAGTCTCACATCCTGGGGAAAGGACTTTTGGCCTCATTTCTCTTGAATATCAAGACAAATAATTAACTATTTCTATTTTAGAGCAACTGCCCATTTAATACAATTTAAAATCTTTCTTATTTTGCATTTCTAGTTTTAAGTATACAGTATTAATCAAAGTAACATTTAAATGCTAAAAATTTAAATTTAAAATGAATATGGATATTAAGTTTTCTTTTTAACTGAATTGCTGTATGAATACTGGTTACTTTTATCACTGATATCTTGACCTAGGAGATAAACTTAGGATTTTAAGTTTTATATGGTAGGTACTATGTACAGTTTAAAAATTACACATGTAACAAATCTCAATATTTGCCACAAGTGACCATTTTTATTTAAAAAAAGAAAAGGTCAAGTCAACTATGAAAAACAATGGTCTTCTTACTTTCAGTATAAACTAGAGTAGCCAGAAATATGTTAAAAGATTTGAATTACAAGTCAAATAAATATTTGTATTTTGCTTTTCAAAGCAATAATATTCTATATTAAACTCTGAGGTATCAAAACTAGTTAGCTGGACAAAAACAAGAGACTTTAATGCCTAGTTCATTACATTAAAAAGAAACATGTTTTCTAAAATCTCTTTCTTCAAAACTTACCAATTATTAACAAAAGGAGTACACTGATTGGTAAATATCCTGTTCTTCAAACACTATTTTATTTTTTTCGTTGCCCAATTTGCCATGGATTCTTATAACAAGATCTTCTAAAATATCTAAAGTATTTGATAATCTGGTTGAAGTTCAAAAACATTTTTTAGAAAGATCAAATATCTTTTTACCTTAAAACAAGGTAAATATCAAACAGATGATGTTGGAATTATTCAGTACTGACATTATGACAAAAGAGATTTATATTGTTTAAGAACAATTATACATAAATTTCTACAACTTTGTGGAAAAAATACTTCAGCTCATTTACAAATTTCATATAAAGTACAGAGTTGCCAACTAAAGATTCCATCAATGTAATGGCATAGGATTTCACTATACAAATACAAAATAACATTTAAAAAAATTTTAAGTGTTTACCTGTAATAAATCTTAGAATTATGATTAGGGAATAGACTTTAATTTCATGTTCCTTTAAAAAAATGACAATTTTCTTCCCACTATTGAATAGAAGATAAAAACTAATTTTATAATAACTAGTATAAATATATTTAACAAAGATTGATGGATACTTTGAGAAGTAAAGCAGTGTTTTTTCTTTTTCAGTATAATTGTTCACAAATAAGCAATTAAGAGATAGTTTCAAGACAAAACAAACTACATAGAATGCTCACCTCTAATATTTCATGCAGTGTTATCAGCTGTGCAGTTGATTCTCCAATGTTTTGCTTTAAAAGAGAAATGTGAATAACAAACAATTAACATTTCAATTCTGCTAGTGGTGAAATATTAGACGGTATTATAAGATTTTAAAAATTAATATTCCTTAGTTACAATGGTACAAGGTAACTAAAAGCAAAGTCATAATTAGATGAAAAAAAAATTCTGAAGGTAAACCTTATTGTACTTGTCAGTCATAAAAATGAAAACCTTTATAATCATTGGACGATTAAAACTATCCATAAACATATAACAGATATATTATACATATTATATACTATATTACAGAAGAAAATCTAATATTTGAAATCCCCAGCAAAAGTTCCCCAAACAAGTGACATTTCAGACAATATTTACAGTTTCAAGATGCCGAAACTTGCTTTCCAGGGAGCCTTATTAATCTTTCTATATCTCTTAACAGTTTCTTATCTTAATTCAACGATTCTCTTTTCCTTAGAATGACAGAGATTAATCTTCATTCCCATTCTACCCAATAGTTCCTCGAGTATTTGAAAACAGGTATTATAAGGCCCAAGTATTCTCTTCTCCATATTAAGTATCACTAGTTCCTTCAATTATTTTTCATACAACATAGATTTGAGGGCCCACAATATCATGGCTACTCTCTACTATGCTCTAATTTGTCTTTTTCCCGCCTTCAACCAGTCACCCGCAATGATCTAGGTGTGATTCTACTATCAAAGACAAAAAAGAACACATACTTTTATAATTACAGATGCTAGAACTCTATCATTAAATTTAGATGGCAATAGCTTTCACACATCTATTTTTACCATGCTGATTTCTTTCTGTGCACACTATCATCTAAAATGCCAGCCGGGCTCGGTGGCTCAGCCTGTAATCCCGTGCCTTTGGGAGGCCGAGGTGAGTGGACTGCCTGAGCCCGCGGGTTCGAGATCCACCTGGGCAGCGAGACCTCATCTCTACAATAAATCAAAAAATCAGTCGGGCGTGGTAGCGCATGCCTGTAATTCCGGCTACTTGGAAGGCTGAGGCAGAAGGATCGCCGAAGCCCAGCAGGTCGAGGCTGCGGTGGCCGGGAGCGGCTACTGCACTCCAGTCTGGGCGACAGAGTGAGACTCCAACTCAAAATAAAATAAAATAAAATGCCAAAGTGTTTTTCATATATCCACCTAAAAAGGTCTCCCTCATTCTTTACTGTTTTAAGCCCAAGAAAGAAATTCTATGTATCTCTACTAAACATCACCCAATTTTATTTGGCTTTATTCCTAACCAGCTGAGAAGTACAGTCCTAATTCTGTTATCCAACATAGTTACTATGTAGACCTCTTACTTCCACATCATTTGTAAACTACTGTGTATTCTACCTCCTTATCCAAATTCTTGTTAAAATGCTCAGTAGGACAAGGCAGTAAAGATAACCGCTAGAAACTTCCTTCCAAGATAATACCAATCCTAATCAAGTTTTGAGTTCAGACATTCAATTAGTTAGAAAATTATCTACTATAGCTATTACTTTACTGATACCAAACATCACCAGAGTCCTGATAAAGCCCTGTAGAAATACAAAGATATTAGGAAATAGTAAAATAACACTAAGAAAAATCATATGATTCCCGAGTAGACACAAAGCTAGATCTCAAAATCTCCTAATACCTTACTAAATGAAAAAGAATGGTAAAAATCAGTATATAATTCACTAGTGATGAAAGCAGCACCATGATAAAACTGATTAATAAATAAAAAGGAAGGCATAGATTAAAACATAAAGGCATGAGACAATCTAAGGGAATACAGAGGAAAAATATAAAAGAAAATTCCATGAAATGCAATGTGAAATAAAACTGCCCAGAAAAAAAACAACCATCTTTTGCAAAGCAAAGCTGATATTGAATGACCAACACTTTGACATATCCTCTCATTAAGTTATAAAAGTTCAAAAATAAAGATTTGTTCACGTATACAGTCAGAAGCAAGTCATCTGCAGGCTGGTCTCAGACTTCTCTGTAGAACATTTCATCTTGGAAAACATGGAACAATGTCTACCAAACCTTGAGATTTTTAAAAAATGTGCTGAATATATCTTTTGGGTATAAGGTAAACAAAGTATTTTCACCATTTAAGTATTCGAAGAAAAAAAAATGAAGGGATTCTTGAACAAATGACTTGTTCATAAATTCCTGAATTTGAAAATTACTTGTTTCCAGTTTGTTGTTTTTTATATTAGTTCTCCAGAACTAAAATCATGTGAAGCAAAGAGGTATTTATCTGAGTTCAACAAATCAATTTTACTCATTATTTTTCTTCTTTCAAACGTAAGTAAAATTATATTTAATACTTATTTTTATTATTAGCATGTACAAAATTACATTGATCCACCCACCTATCAATCCATTTATGTTTCTATATGTACATGTGTTTAGGAAGGTACCTCAGATGACATTCACCTAATGTTAATTGTGATGTTTGCCTAACATTAATAATCTGACGGAGAAATTTTGGTTGTTTCTAACTTGCTTCTTTGTATAGATCTTTGAATTATAAAGTCTAGTGCTGTGAACTGAATTGTGTTTCCTAAAATTGAAGCCCAAATTTGACCAGATTTGGAAATAGGATCTAAAATAAGGTAATTAAGGTTAAATGAGGTCCTAAGTGTTGGGGTCCTAATTCAATAAGACTGTTTTTCTTATAAAAAGAGGAAGAGACACTAGAGAATTATATTTTTCCTGTGTGCACAGAGAAAAGCCCAACTTGAAAACACAGTGACAAGGTGGTCGTCTACACATCAGGAACAGAGACCTCACTAGAAATCAACGGTGACAGTACCTTGATTTTGAACTTTTAATTTCTAGAATGTGAGGTTGTTGTTTAAGCCAGTCTGTGGTATTTTGCTATGGCAGCCCAAGCAGACTAATTCATACATTATTACTGCTGAAGAGAGTACGAGAGAGAGAGACAAAAAGAGACAGACAGGAACCTATCATTTTGTAACCTGACATACAGTTCCTCTATGTCCTTAAAAAGGAAAAGTAAGGTTATCAAATAAGACTTATTAGCCCTAAAATAACTTATGGTAATCAATGCTTCCTTTTCAGAATATCTCAAACCCCTGGTTCTATTAATGGAAAAGTTTAATCTGTATAAAAAAGAAAGTTGAAGAAAATGGGGGACATGAGATTAGAAAATAAGTTGATAAATTGCTGCAAAATTAAGATCATTAAAGGCAAGGAATCATGAATCATGACCAATGTAATGGGCAATAAAAGGCTGTCAACAATGTTAAAAATGAATTAAGAAGTATAAATAAAAGAATGGGAGACATAGTCTATAACAAATGTGAAGTGTATAAGCAATTATAAAGAAGAAAGTGAAAAGTAAGAAAAAAGGACACTTTCTCCTTTTCCTAGTATACTCATATCCATTCAATAAATATGAATTCAGAAGGTACTACAAAATATGTAAGACAGAGATATAAAGATGAATTAAACACATCAAGTAGCTCAAAGGACATGGCAAGGGAAGGGAAAGATAGACATAAATGACAATAACAAAATCTGATAAACGCTAATAAAAGAACACCTAGAGCTGAGCTTGGTGGTATGCGCCTGTAGTTCCAGCCACTTGTGAGGTTGAGGCAAGAGGATCGCTTGAGCCCTGGAGTTCGAGTCCAGCATGAGTAACATAGCATGACCCACTTCCAATAACTAGTCGACTAACTGACTAATTAACTAACTAACTGAATAAATGAATGAATGGATGAATGAATGAATGAATAAATAAATAAATAAATAAGTGGACATTAAATTTATACAATGTTTTACTCCAAGGATGTTTATGCTACCTTAAGCAGGAATTTGCTCTTCTCACCAGATAGTTTTCTAGGCAGAAGGAATAGAAGGTATAAGGTACAAAAAAGTGAGAGGTCAGTAGAAGATATAGTAGTATGGCTGAATGGATTCATGTAAGAGGTGGATTAAAAAAAAGGTTGAAGACAAGGCTGAAGGGAAAGACAAAGACCAGCGTAGGAATCCATTATTCTAAGGAGTTTACAGAACTTTTCTCATAGGAACCCACCACAGATTTTATGCTGAAAAATGATTAAACTATACATATGTACACATATGTATACATACATACTTATGTGTGAGTGTATGTGTGTGTGTGTATATTTGAGAGATCATTCTGGTGCCAGTTTAAAAGCCTGTTCCAATTTCAAGTCTTATTTATTTATATTATATATTGTATTAAAGAAAAAGAACTAAAGTAGTTGTTCACAATCTTTCACCATTCAACAAAATATGGATGTACTTTTTTGGAAAAAGTTTATCATTTCATAACTATTAGTCAAATAGTCAATGGTTTACATTAAACAGATTTTTAAAATAATTCTTCTGATTTTAAAAGTTACATATATTCATCACGGAAATTTGGAGAATAGTGAAAAGCAAAACAAAAACAAAAGCTCACTTAATCCTAGCTCTCAGGCATAAGTACTATTACATTTTTCAGCAAAAATTAGATTCACACAGTTTAATCATCTGTGTTTTACTCATTTAACAATAAATTGTATTTCAATAACTCCTTTGATGGTGTTCAACACATTAATTTTAAAAGCTGATTTTCCTACCATATGAGTATAATATAAAAAATATGAAATTAATTCTATAATAATAATTAAGTTGCTTCTAATTTTTCCAGAAATATAATGATGTCATACTATTGTATGTATGTATCTTTGAACTATGTAAGAAAATCTGCTTTTAAATCTACCTAAAAGAATTACAAATATGATTACATACATGAGTATTTTCTCTAAAACTTACCTTTTTCTTTTTAAAATTTACATCAGGCAGAGGAAAATGGTCTTCTAGAAACTCACCCAAGGTAATCAAGAGTTTCTCCTTATATTCCTTTATATTGAGCATTTTAGTTTTCAGCTCATTAGAGATTCTAATAGATTTTTAAAAATTAAGAGAAACAATTAATTGATAAAATACATACGCAATTGTAACTGGTTATTCATAAAGTTGATTGAAAACTTTTTTGAAACTTCATTTACTCAAACCAAATAACTAGCTTTATAGTAATGTTCTCTAAAACATGTAGGGAAACCAAAGTCAAGTCATTCATAAAAGATCATGTAAGCAATAGTTAGCATAAGTAAGGGCAAAACTTATGATTTGGCAAAAATTGCCTTCTTTTCATATTTCATGTAACATAAAAAAACTTCCTATTTTAAAAACCTAGAACACAAGATTAATACCTTGATTTAGAAAATGTGACAACTTGATTTTTCAATTCATTGTGTAGTACATTAAGAGATTCCATAATCTGTTGCTGTTCACCCAACCACTGCTGCTCCCTTTAAACATGGAAAAACAAAACAACATCCAAATAAAACTTTAAATGCCACTTCAATATAGATCAATGGGTAGTAGTAAGTAAAATGTAAATATACCTTTCTAGATCTTCCTTTAATTTTTCATTCTTTGACTGAATAGTGGATAGCACCATTTCAAGATCATGTCTCAATTTTTGGAACTAGAACAAAATAATTTCAATTAACTGTTTAGTGTTTAATGCTATAAATAGTTGTATCTCTGAATGATAGCGAGATTTACACATTGGTATCACATACATCCATTCAGACATTAGTAATAAGAAAACCTAGCAGAAAGTGTTTGCAACGGTAAATATAGAGGAGGTGGCTAAGTTTTTGGTAATATCTCATGGTAAAATACAAAAATATAAGAAGTGGTTTTGAGAGGTAGATTTAAATTTCAAACTTAAAGGCAAATTAATGGTTTGTTATCAGTAAGCATGTACACTGGATATTTCTTCTAGGGCGATTATACAAAACAGACTCATTCAATATTTATTCAATCATTCAACCAGTAGTTATTAATCAGTTATAGATTACCACGCATTGTTGAAGGAGACAGGAGTGTACAGAAAAAAGAGTAGAATTCAGACAAACAAGTGATGACAAATGTATGAAGAAAAAATAAATCAAAATAAAAGTAAAAGCATGAAGAGTAAGAAATGGCTATTTTAGGTAGTATGACATGGAAAGATTTCTTTGATCAGGTAATACATGAACAGCAGAGAAAGAAGATTAAAAAAAAAAAAAAAGTCACTATCTAGCAAAAGAATGTTCCAGAAAGGGAAAATGTTAAGTAAAAAGACCCAAAGGCAGAAGTGTGCTTGATGCATTTGAGGAATGACAAAGAAGACTAAAGAAAATTATAATAAATTCTGACTTTATCGAATATCCTTTTTTCCTAAAACATATTAACTAGTGTTCCATCCTCCTGATCTCAAGGCTTTCCATTAGCTTTTTCTAAATCTAAATCAGTGATAAGTTAAAAATGTATATCATAAACCCCCAAACAACTATGAAAACAAAGAAAGGAAATAATAAGTTAATAGTGACAATAAAATGTGTTTAGTTTTCAAAATACCCAATTAACCAAGAAAGTAGGAAAGAGGAAAACAGAAACAGAGGAAAAATGAGATGACTAGAAACCTAAATCAAGATCTAGATTATAAAGCAACCATATTGATATTATATTAAACATGGTCTAACAATGGAATTAAATTAAAAATTAATAAAGGAAAGTTATCTAGAAAACTTTGCAAATATCTGGATGCTAAAAAACATACTTCTAAATATTCCATGGGTCAAAGAAACTATCAATAGAAAAATAAGAAGTTACTATAACTGACTGAAAATATGGCCGGACATAGTGGTTCAAGCCTGTAATCTCAGCACTTTGGGAGGCCAAGGTGAGGGGACTGCGTGAGCCCACGGGTTCGAGAATAACCTGGGCAACTTGGCAAGACCTCATCTCTACAATAAACCAAAAATTAGCTGGGTGTGGCAGTGTGTACCTGTAGTTCTGGCTACTTGGAAGGCTGAGGCAAAATGATCACCTGAGCCCACAGGATCAATGCTGGAGTGGCCATGAATATGCCACTGCACTCCAGCCTAGGCGATGGAGTGAAACTTCAACTCAAAAAAAAAAAAAAAAAAAAGAAAGAAAGAAAGAAAGAAAGAAAAGAAAAATATAACATCAAAATTTCTGGGATGAAGTGAAAACCTTATTCAGATGAGAAATTTATAGCTCTAAAAGTCTATTTTAGAAATAAAAGAAAGCTCTCAAATGAATAACCTTAGCTTCTATCACAGAAAACATTTTTAAAAAGCAAACAAAACCCAAAGTAAGCGGATAAAATAATAAAATAGGAAAAAAGAGAAAGAAGGAAAAAGCAATGAAACCAAAATCTGGTTCTTTGAGAAGGTCAAAAAAATTAGGTAGTTCAGCTGGGCACGGTGACTCATGCCTGTAATCCCAGCACTTTGGGGGGCGGAGGAGACAGGATTGCCTGAGTCCACGCATTCGAGACTAGCCTGGGCAACTTGGTGAGACCTCACCTTTACAATAAATCAAAAAAATTAACAGGGCGTGATGGCGCATGCTCATAGTTCCAGCTACTTGGAAGGCTGAGGTGGAAGGATCACCTGAGCCCACCAGGTGGAGGCTGCAGTGACCATAAGTGTGCCACTCTATTCCAGCCTGGGCTAGAGTGAGACTCCGACTCAAAAACAAACAAACAAAATTAGATTAATTACAGGAAGAGAAAAGACACAAATTACCATTATTAGGAAAAAGAGAGGTGGCATCATACAAACAATGAAACGATAATGGGCAAATGCCATAAACAATTTTCTCAATAAATCTGACAAATTAGGTGAACAAATTTTTTGAAAGACACAAACTTGCAAGGCTCATTCAGAGACAAAAGGAAAACATGAGTAGCCCTAAAGAAACAGAATTTGTGATTTAAAGTTTTCCCAGATGAAAATTTTCATTCATCTCTGATTTTTAAATTCAGTTTATAAGGAAATTCCAAATAGCAAAAACATGGAACCAACTATGCTGCCCATCAAAAGTGGACTGAATAAAAAAAATGTGGTACACATACACAATAGAATATTACACAGTCATAAAGAAAACAAAATTATGGACTTTGCAGCAACTTGGATGAATTTAGAGTCTATAATATTCAGCGATCTATCACAGAAACAAAGATCTGAGTACTACTCACTCAGAAGTGGACCCTGAACATTTACTATAATACTATAAGAAAAGGACTGGTAGTAGTGGGACACTGTGGGGGATAGAGGGGCACATAACATCAATAAGGGCACCCATGCCGGACTCGGTGGCCCAGCCTGTAATCCTGTGCTTTGTGAGGCTGAGGTGAGTGGATTGCCTGGGCCTGCGGGTTCGAGACCCGCCTGGGCAACTTGGCGAGACCTCATCTCTACAATAAATCAAAAAATTAGCCGGGCGTGGTAGCGCGTGCCTGTAGTTCCAGCTACTTGGAAGGCTGAGGCGGAAGGATCGCCGGAGCCCAGCAGGTTGAGGCTGCGGTGGCCCCGAGCTGCCACTGCACTCCAGTCTGGGCGACAGAGTGAGACTCCAACGCAAAAAAGAAAAAAAAAAAAGGGCACCCAATCTCAAACCAGGCGATGTGGGAACCAAAGGGAGGCCCAAACTTTACCTGTACAATGACCACTTATATATCTAACCATGAATTATACCCCACATCTTTAAGATAAAATTTTAAAAAGAGAGAAAAAAAAGAAAATTCTAGTCCCAGATGCTTTCACCTGTGAATGCAAACAAGCACTTAAAAAATTTAAAATATCGATTTTATATAAACATTTTGGAAGATTCCATGACTTGATTGATTTTTTAGAAAACTCAATGTAATTCTCCATACCAATAGACTAAGAAAAAAATCACTTAATTGTCTCAATAAATTCAGAAAGAATAAATGATAAAACAATATTAATTTATGATATATATATTTTTTTTAGTTGGAGTCTCACTCGGTTGCCCAGACTGGAGTGCAGTGGCCACTCCAGCCACCGCAGCCTCGACCTGCTGGGCTCCGGCGATCCTTCCGCCTCAGTCTTCCAAGTAGCCGGAATTACAGGCATGCGCTACCACGCCTGGCTGATTTTTTGGTTTATTGTAGAGATGAGGTCTCACTGCCCAGGTGGGTCTTGAACCCACGGGCTCAGGCAATCCACTCACCTCAGCCTCCCAAAGGCGCGGGATTACAGGCTGAGCCACCAAGCCTGGCTTAAATTATGATTTTAAAATAAAAGACTCAGTAGGAACTGAGTAATCACACCTGTAATCCCAGCACTTTGGGAGGCCAGAGCAGGAGTATTGCTTGAGCCCAGGAGTTTGAGATCAGCCTGGCAACATGGCAAGACCTCGTCTCTATGATAAATCAATAAACTAGTCGGGCATGGTGGTGCAGATTTGTAGTTCCAGCTACTCAGAGGGCTCTGGTGGAAGGATCACCTGAGTTCAGCAGGTCTATGTTGTAGCTGTGACCATGCCACTACGCTCCAGCCTAAACAAAAGAGTAAGACTCCGACTCAAAAATCAAAGAAAGAAACAAACAAAAAACTCTTCAAAACCTGTAATCAAAGAAAATTTCCTCAATCTGATTAAGAATATCTAAGAAAAACCTACCACTAACATCACACTTAAGTGAATACTTTCCAATAAGATCAGAAACAGGGCAAAGATGTCCATTCTTCCAACTTCTAATCAATATTTTGCTGAAGTACAAGTTTGAGGATAGTTTGATAAGCCCACAACCACACATCTATAAAATAAAATATATTTTAAAAAAAAATAAGCCAGCCGGGCTCAGTGACTCAGCCTGTAATCCCAGCACTTTGGGAGGCTAAGGTGAGTGTATTGCCTGAGCTTGTGGGTTCGAGACCAGCCCAGGCAACTTGGTGAGACCTCATCTCTACAAAAAAAAAAAAAATAAATTAGCCAGGCATGGTATCGTGCACCTGTAGTTCCAGCTATTTGAAGGCTGAGGCGGAAGGATAGCTGGAGCCCAGCAGCTTGATGCTGGGGTGATCGTGAATGTGCCACTGCACTCCAGCCTGGGTGACTGAGTGAGACTCCAATTAAAAAAAAAAAAAAACCAACAGAAAGATATCAAAATTATCCAAAATGGGAAGGTTAAAACAGTCTCTAATCTCAGATGACATGACTGCGTAGAAAATTATACAGAATCTGCTGGAGAATAGTTTGCAGAGGTGCTGTGTTGTACTGAATGGTGACAGAGAATTAAACACCTTGTTGTTTTTTTCCTTTCTGTCCTTAGAAACATATTCCTCCTTTCCAACTGAGACCCCATCAGAATGGCCTTTACTGCATATATTTCTACCAACATTCTGTTCAGGATTATTCAGATATTCTCTAAAAAGATTAAGGCTTTTTCTACAACTTTCCTATTATCTTTTTGAGTCCTCACCAGAACTGCCTTTAAAAGTCTGCTCATAGCAATGCAGGCTTTTTCCAGCACGCACTTCAAAATTCTTCTAGCCTCTACTCATTACCCAGTTCCAAAGCTGCTTTCTCATTTTTTGGTATTTCTTAAGGCATCATTACTACTTCTGAGTAGCAATTTCCAGCCATAGTCCATACAGGCTGCTATATAACAAAATACCATTGACTGCGCAGCTTATAAAAAGCAGAAATTTATTTCTCACAGTTCTGGAGGCTAGGAAGTCCAAGATTTGCTATCTGGTGAGAGCCTGCTTCCTCATGGATAGTGTCCTCTGGATTGTGTCCTCACATGATAGAAAAAGAGTCCTTTGGTTTCTGTAGTCACTTGTAAGGGCAGTAATCCCATTTACAAGGGCTCCGCACTCAGGACCTGCTCGTCTCCCAAAGTCCCCAACTCCTATTACCATCATACCTATTAGATTTCAACAGATGAATTTCAGGAGCACACAGGCATTTAGTCTTAGCAGAAAGAGAGATATATGTGTGTGGCCATCTAGCTATGTTTGTTTTCATTATGAAATTTAATTAACTGAAAACTAGATACAAATTAGAGTTTACATATTAGTCACTAACCCTAGCAACAGTGCTCATGTAAAAATTGAGTTGAAAATGCAAACCTTTAAAAATATTCTATTTAATAAAATATAATTAATATAAAAATGAAAAGTGAGATATGGTTTTAGAGTGGTCTCACCCTATTTGTTGTGATGTAAACTTATCTAAAACAGATTTAGTTATAAATTATTTGGGGTTACTTCAAATTCATCGACTTACCTCTTCTTTTCCTAATGTTACAAGAACATCTTCAGTAAGGGGAATTACTACAAAAACAAAACAAAACAAAATTATTCATACGTTAATTCTCAAAAACCAAGAATCTGATTTTGTGGTTTTCTAAGAAAACCCCTTCCCTCTCGAATTATATATTACATAACGTTTTATGAAGTGTGCAGTTTTTATTGAATTATTTTTACTTAACATCTTTGCACATATAACCAACTATATATAATTTTAGATGAATGATACTAAATGCTTCTTTTGTAGTGCGTTTTTCTTTCCTTCTTTTTTCCAAACCCCCAAAAGTAAAGTTAACAATCTACAGTGTGTTCCCCAAATGCTTTTCACTGTAGTTATACAATCCTTTGTATACATATATAATGCAAATATATACATATATACACATAAAAACATATACAAAAGTGTTATTTTCATTACTGACGGTTTTACACGAATGGGATCATAACATACATATTATCCTCATCTTGTTTTCACTCAATAAAAGCCCCATGGAAACACTTTCCATTCATCTAGTATAGATTTAACTCACAATTATTAATGTCTGCATAACATTCCATAACGTATTGAGTGATTTCCTTATTGACTGAGCATTAACTTTATATCAAGTGTTTAGTAACAACAAACAAAGATGCAGTAAGCATACAAGGAGGACCCCCTCAAAAACTGGAATTATTTTTTAAGGGTAGGCCCCTTGAAGTACAGGCTTCTCCCACTGAGTAAGTGTCCAGTGTCCTAGGAACCCACCAGCATCAATGTAACTGCTAACATTGTTGTAAGAGGCTGCCTTCAGCTTCAAGTGAGTTTTTCTTAGACATTGTCTCAACCTGTTTGCTCATAGCATAATGGGCACCTGCCCAAAGATCGCTGAGTATTCAGCAGTTTTTAACCAACAATGCCATGACCCCCTTGCCCCGCCCTCCCTATTTGTCTGATCTCACCCTGAGCAACTTTTTTTGTTTCCCTAGAAGAAAGAAGTCCTTGGCGGGGCTCAGTGGCTCAGCCTGTTATCCCAGCACTTTGGGAGCCCAAAGGTTCGAGACCAGCCCGGGCAACTTGGTGAGACCTCTTTTCTACAGTAAATAAAAATTAGCCAGGAGTGGTAGCGCACGCCTGCAGTTCCGGCTACTTGGAAGGCTGAGGCGCAAGGATCACCAGAGCCCAGCAGGTTGATGCCGGGGTGGCCGTGAGCCTGCGTGCCACTGTACTCCAGCCTGGGCAACGGAATGAGACTCCAACTCAAAAAAAAGAAGAAGAAGAAAGAAGTCCTCAAAGGGAAACAGTCTGCCATCACGGAAGAAGTGAAACAAAAAATGGCAAAAAGCACTAAAAGCATCAAAATTGACAAATTCAAAAACTGTTTTGAGCAGTGGAAAAAGTGATTCAATAGGTATATTACATCAAATGGAGAGTACTTTGAAGGTGGCTAAAGTCTAAACATGCAAGAATAAATACACAACTTTTTATAAATAAATTCCCGATTTTGGGGGGGTCTCCCCTCATACTTTTATTTATATCTTTATGTAGTGATGCTTTTTCTACAGAACAGATTCCCAGAAATGGAATTTCACAGAATAAAAGGTACATTTTGAATTTTAATAGAGGATATCAGACTCCTTTGTAAAAACATTTTTATGGGTGATAAAGAAAAAATAGCAAAAGGTATTATAAACTCTAAAACTTTTGCCAATCTGATAAATAGAAATAAATCTTAATTTTGTATAGCAAAATTTCAATCCTTGTGCTAAAAAATTTTCTTTCCTAATGAAGTACTATTTGAAATTTCTCAAATAATATACTACTGAAAACTTTCAAAATTATCTACTACTCTAAAGAGCCTTCTAACAGGAAAGAGCTTTTGACAGGTGTTCTGACACGCAGGCAGGCTTATATAAGTACCGATTGCAGGCAGCTCCAGTATGGCTAGTAAATCATTTCTAGAAATGCAATGAGAAGGGTTCTAAGAATATAAAGTTTAAAAAGTCTCCCTCGGGTCCCCTCCCACTGTGGGAGCTTTTCTGTCCTCTTAATAAATCTTGCTTTCTCAAATAAATAAATAAAAAGTCTCCCTTATGGCCACTGTGGTCAAGAGCAGCATTTTAACATGCATTCAAATAGTCATTTCAAAAAATATAATGAGCCGGGCTCGGTGGCTCAGCCTGTAATCCCACGCCTTTGGGAGGCTGAGGTGAGTGGATTGCCTGAGCCCGCGGATTTGAGACCCGCCTGGGCAGTGAGACTTCATCTCTACAATAAATCAAAAAATCAGCTGGGCGTGGTAGCACGCCTGTAGTTCCGGCTACTCGGAAGGCTGAGGCGGAAGGATTGCCGGAGCCCAGCAGGTTGAGGCTGCAGTAGCCGGGAGCAGCCACTGCACTCCAGTCTGGGCGGCAGAGTGAGACTCCAACTCAAAAAATATATATATAATAGCATAGATTCTAAGAATATAAAGATTTTAAAAAATCTTTCCAGTGTGGCAGCCTGTGGGACCAGCAACCCTATAAGACAGGTAGGAATTAGGAACAGGGCAGCTTATATGCTCAGTATTACCAGCACAAGACGTATGTTAAGGGATGATAATAACAAGAAAAATAAAAATTAAAAATGCACTGATATATAGCATAAAGAATACAATCCATAAGAATAAATTTAACTGAGGAGGCAAAAGACATATGCTGAAAACTACAAAATGCTGCTGAAATTAAGGAATATATAAAATAAATGGAAAAACATTCTGTACTCATGATTTGAAAAACTAACATTATTAAGACATCAATACTACCCAAAGCAATCCACAGATTCAATACAATCCTTATCAAAATCCTAAGGACATTTCTGCATAACTAGAAAAATATATCCTAAAATTCACATGGAATCTCAAGGGACACTGAACAGCCAAAACAATTTTATAAAAGAACAAAGTTAGAATTTTACATTTTGATATCAAAATTTACTACAAAGTTACAATAAACAAAAGAATGTGGTAATGGTATACAGACCAGTGAAATAGAATAGTGAGCCTAGAAATAAACTCTCACAAATGTGGCCAAATGATTTTTGACAAAGGTGCTAACACAATTTGATGAGGAATGAATTTTTTCTTCAACTAATAGTACTCAGAAAACTTGATGTACACATGCAAAGGAGTAAGTTTGACTCTTTCCAAACACCATATAAAATTAACTTAAAGTAGATCAAACATCAATACCTAATAGCAAAACTACAAAACTCTCAAAGGAAAACACAGATGAAAAAATGTTATGACACTAGATTTGGCAATGAGTTCTTAGATATGTCACCTAAACACAGGCAATATAAGAATAAGTAGATAAACTAGACCACATCAAAATTTAAAACTTCTGTGCATCAAAGGAAACAATCAACAGAGTGCAAAGGCAATCTTTGAAATGGGAGAAAATATTTGCAAATCAATATCTAAAAAGGTCAATGCCCAGAGTATATAAAGAACTCACACAAGTCCACAACAGAAAAACAAACTTGACTGAAAGACCTTCAACAGACATTTCTTCGAAGAAGATATGTAACTGGCCAAGAAGCAAATAAAAAGATGCTCAACATCACTTTTTATTAGGGAAATCAAAATCAAAACCACAGTGAGATACCACCTCATCACCATTAGGATAGAGTCTTAGTCTGTCTGTGCCGCTATAACAAAATGTGACAGACTAAGTAATTTATGAGTAACAGAAATGTATTTCTCACAGATCTAGAGGTTGGGAAATGCAAGACCAAGATAGCAACATCCAAAGACGGTGCCTTCTTGTTGTGTCTTCAAGAGGTAGGAGGCAAAATCGGAAAAGAAAACAACAACAACAACAACAAAAACTAGGATGCTCCCTTCAACTTCTTTTATAAGGTCACTAATAACACCCGAAATGCCTCATCTCTTAATGCCATTACATTGGTGATTTTGGGAGGCCAAGGTGAAAAGATTATTTGAGCCCAGGAGTTTGAGACCAGCTTAGGCAACAAAGCAAGACAGCATCTCCACAAAAAAAAAAAAAATCAAAAAATTAGCCAGGCATGGTGGCACGAACCTGTAGTTTCAATTTCTTGGGAGACTGAGGCAGAAGGATCACTTGAGCCCAAGAGATCAAGGCTGCAGTAAAGCATGATCAGGCCACTATATTCCAGTCGAGGTGATAAAAGAAAGACCCTTATTCTTTAAAAAAAAAAAAAAGTGGAGAAATTGAAACCACTGTCCATTGTTGGTGGGATGGTAATATGGTGCAACCATTATGAAAAACAGTATAATGGTCCTCAAAATATTAAAAATAGAACTGCCACATGATTTACTAATTTCCTTTCTGATTATATATCCAAAATAATTGAAAGCAAGGTGTCAAAGAGATATCTATACACCCATGTTCATAACAGCATTCACAGTAACTAAGAGGCAAAAGTAATCCAAATTTCCATTGACAGATGAATGGATATACAAAATGTGGAATATACATATAATGGAATATTATTATTCAATCATAAAACAAAGGGAAATTCTGATCATTACAACCTGGATGAACTTTAAGGACATTATGCTAAGTGAAATAAACCAGTCACAAAAAGGCAAATATACTATATGATTCCATTATATGACTTATCCAAATTAATCAAATTTATAAAAATGGCAGTTGTCAAGGGCTAGGGCAAGAGGAGAAGGAGAGCTGTTGCTTAATGTGTATAGACTTCAGATTTGCAAGAAGAAAAAGTTCTGGAGATTGATTGCACAATGTGAATATACTACACATTTTTAACATATACATTATTGTGCTATACATGTAAAAATGGTTAAGAGGGAAAATTTTATGTTTACTTTATTACAGCTAAAAAAAAGTTTCAAAACTTCAAACTTAATGGACACGCAGGGATTTGTGTATAACTATAAAAAAAAGAGCTAACATTCATGTTACTGAAATTCCAGGAGAAAAAAAATAGGGTGGAGGTTATAGAAAAAATAAGTGAAGAAATAATAACTGAAATTTCTCAAGCTTTGCAAAAGTTATAA